ATAGGCATGTGTCCTAACTGGGATTGAACCTGCAACCTTTCAGTGTAGGGATGACACTCCAATCAACTAAGCCACATTGGCCAGGGCTGACCACTCCTTTTGAATATTAAAAAAGAAATATTTTTGACATCACTTCCCAGAGAGAGAGATCACATAATTGGCTTCAAACTTATAGTCAATAGAAAGAAAACACAGTTGTACAGTTTAGTTATTCACAGGGTTCAGAAGGTGAAAACTAACAAATTATTCAGCAAAAGCATATTTATTTTGGGTCTGAGGACCAGAAAGAAATTTTCCCATGGGTCCTCATAATGCAGTGCTATAATAAACAGTGGCCCACATCTTTACAATAACCCAGTTGTGAATTCATAAGCCACATGAGTTTAAGGATCTTTGTTTTATTCATCTCTATTTCTAATGCTATTTCTAATGCCAATACAGCACCTGACCAAAAGTAGTTACTCGGTGGATATTTGAAAGACTGGAAGATGAATGGATTAATTTTACAATGTTAATGTTATTGAAATTGCTGATAGAAATTGATGTCAGGTAATTTAGTGACAGTGACTCCTCAGAGGCCATTAGAGCAGCGTCACCAGCCGGTGTTCTGGAACCACTGGTGGTCGGCGAGGTCCGGGAGGTTAGCGGCCGCTGCTTTAGAGCACCTAGGATTGGGTCCACAAAGTTAGATATTGGTTCCTTGCTCAGTTCCCTCCGATATTTCCTTATGTAGATATCTATTTTTTGTAGTCATTAATTATTAGGGATGATGAAATCAGTGAAGCAGACAGCATAGGTTTTTTGGGGTTTTTTTTGTTTTGTTTCCAGAGAGAAAAGATAGTTAATAGCACTTGGTAGAGAAAACTCTGGTTTTGTTTGGTTACTGTTCTGTCACATTTATATATATATAACACACACACACACACACACATACATACATACACACACACACACACACACACACACACACATTTTTTAATTGATTTTTTACAGAGAGGAAAGGAGAGAGGTAAAGAGTCAAAAACATCAATGAGAGAGAAACAGATCAGCTGCCTCCTCCACACCCCACACCTCCTACTGGGGATGTGCCTGCAACCAAGGTACATGCCCTTGTCCGGAATCGAACTTGGGACCTTTCAGTCCGCAGGCCAAAGCTCTATTCACTGAGCCAAACCAGTTCGGCCTGCACACGTTTTTTTTTTGTTTTTTTTTTAATATATTTTTACTGATTTCAGAGAGAGAGAAAAAAACCTCAATGATGAGAGAGAATCGTTGATTGGCTGCCTCTTGCACATCCCACACTAGGGATTGAGCCCATAAACTGGGCATGTGCCCTGACTGGGAATTGAACCTTGGCCTCCTGGTTCATAGGTCAACACTCAACCACTGAGCCATACACACCAGGCTGTTCTCATTTGCCTTGCAGCTAAAATAAATTTCCTTATTGCCTTGGTAATGAGTCTGATTCTTATGAACTTTTGGTGACTTCACTTCTAATGAGGAAGAGGAATGTATGGCATTGTTAGCTTCAAATTGTTAGTAGTCTCACACTTTGTTTCAAGGACTAGGAGGAATGTTGCAATAAACTAATATCTAATATTTATTAACCTATATGTTAGTTCCTAGATGCTGAGCACATTCACACATGTAACTTGTATTTGTGTCTTGAATTTCTCAGTCTTTTCCCTCAGCAAGTATTCTTTTCTGTATATTGCCTGAGGATTTTGCAAATATAAAAGGGAAACAAGGACAAAAGTGATTTTTGGAAAGTTGAAGATGTCTTCTGAAGGGTTCATTTTTTTTTTTTTAATATATTTTATTGATTTTTTTACAGTGAGGAAGAGAGAGGGATAGAGAGTTAGAAACATCGATGAGAGAGAATCATCGATCAGCTGCCTCTTGAACATCCCCTACTGGGGATGTGCCAGCAACAGCAACCAAGGTACATGCTCTTGACCGGAATCGAACCCGGGACCTTTCAGTCTTCAGGCTGACGCTCTATCCACTGAGCCAAACCGGTTTCGGCTGAAGGGTTCAGTTTGGAACTGTCTTATTTCATGATGTCAAATACCATGATAGTGATATTGGCTATTCATGGGGATATTGGCTTTATTAAATATTAATCATGCTTTCTGTCCAGTTCTGCCAGTGTGGGCCAAAGGTAGGATTCCAAATACGTGTGTGTGAGTGTGTGTGTGTGTGTATTAAAGGCCCAGCACATGAAATAGTGCATGGGTAGGGTCCCTAGGCCTAGCCTGCGATCAGAGCCATCATCCTCCGGCTCGCCAGTCCCCAGCCCCAGATCCCAGTACCCAGTCCTGACCTGCCACTGCCCACCCTGGTTCCCCGTTGGCCATGCAGCAATCGGAGCCTTCAGGCCAGGGGGAAGTATCAAGAGGTTGGCTGTTTCCCCTACTCGCCAGTCCCCAGTGCCACCCTGTTGCCACCCCTTGTTCCCCGTGGTTTCCTATTTGCCAACAAGCGATTGATCTGAGCCTGTGGGAGGTGGGGGGGACCAAGAGATGGTCAATGCACCTCATAGCTACTGATGGATCCGTCATTCTGATTGTTATGCCGTTATAGTCACTGGCCTTTTATTATATAGGAGGGGCTCTCCTTTTACACAATTCCCTTTTTCATTTTTGTCAATGAGCTTTTAAAAAGAAAAGACAATTTTGGGGAAATGGGATTATTAGGGCATCAGTCATTTTGCTTGCTATTTAAATCTTGAGTGACAGGATGGAGGAAATGAACTATCTTGATCCATATATTGATCAATCTGAACATTCAATGCCTATGTTTAGTTAGTGAGGTTTCTTTTCAGATTCTGGATGCAAATTGTTTGTTTTTAGGAGGTTTCATTTAATAGGAAGTAAGGGCATTTCAAGTTCCAGCACTGTTCTGTCACATGAGCATGCATGGGAAGAATAAAGAGTGAGTGGTTGAGGGTTTGCAGGAGAGGGCTGGGGGTATGAGGGTGGTGAAGAACGGAGGGTTTGTCAGTGCATATGACACTGAGCTAGAGCAGTCAGTGCTGCCTGCAGATTCATAACCCCATTTGTGCACTTGAGCATGACCTGGGGGGCATTGGCCTGATGAATACAGAGAGAGATGCGTTTTGATCAATGTAATTTCCCTCAGATGGGTCTCATCATCCCATGAATCAAAGTCTGTCAGCAAGGAGCTAAAGATGGAGTGAAGTTTATTGTACGATTGTCTTCATGCGACACCGTCACGCTAGAAGGGTCAAGTAAGAGAGACCATTAGAACTGGGTTGATTTACTGGGCCTGTTATGCACTTTCCCTGCGGGGCAAGAAGGAAAGAGGCTTTAGGAGGGGAGCTGAGGGCCTCTGGGTGGTGAGGAAAGAGCAGGCATGCACAAAATAAACGCGCACTGCTTTCTGCGGGTGAGGGTTAGGCAGGCTCTTTGTAGGGAGTGGCAAGTGGGGAGAATCTGTATGGTGTGGTTTTTTTTTCACTTAGAGCCCCTGGTAGATTTAGAGCAGATGTTCTAAAAAACATTGTTTGGCTGTCTCCTGCATTCACCCCAACCGGAGATTGAACCCGCAACCTGGATATGTGCCCTGACTAGGAATTGAACCCATGACCCTTTGGTGCACAGGATAGTGCTCAACCAACTGAGCCACACTAGCCAGGTCCAAATTTTGTAGTTGTTAGTAAACCATTCCAGCAAGGGCATACTCTAAGTTAGTTCATATTTTTATTCTGACTCTTTGTGAAATGAGATTTATATTTCTCTAGTTCTCATTTGAGGATTTTAAAAAAATTATAAAGTCAGCTGATTCAGCTAAAATGAGACCAGCTGCACAGCTGTCTTAGCTGGTTTCCGAACACAATTATGTCTAACTGACTTCCTCTACCATGTTTCTTAGGGAGATCCACAGTGAATACGTGCAGGACTTCTCTTGTGTTTCCTTGGAGTGTGCCAAAAAGTACACCACTATAGTCTATTACAATGAAGCCATACTTGCTATCATCTGAAAGTAGTGCTGTAAGAGCCTCTGTATAGAATTTGTCATACAAATACAATAATATATTAATTGGTTTGAAAGGTTCATAGTCAGTGTTGATTTTCTTTTCCTTTACTTCTGTTATAATTGTACCACAGTAAACCACTAGGCCATTTGGAGGTACTTTGTTTTAAAGTTTGAATCTTTGTTATACAGATGTAATGGCTCCCAGGACTGAAAGATGGTTTTTTAATTGAGGGAGGGAGGGAGGAAGAGTAGGGGGAGAGAGAGAGACAGACAGACAGGCATCAGATATCTCCCATATGCACCAAGACTAAGGATCCAACACAAAACTTGGGTAAGTGCTCTGACCTAGAATCAAAATCCCCTACCTTTTGGTGCACAGGGACACTCAGCCCAATTGAGCCACACTGGCCAGAACCAACAGACTGCTAACATTTTTGCCATTCCTGAAATCTGGTCTTTAGTAGTCAAGATCAATGATATCATGCTTGTGCCATTGCCATGAGCGGTTCCGTAGTTGTTTTGTTTTTATTTTGTTTTTTTAGTGAGTTTTAATTGATTTTTAGAGCGAGGAAAGGAAAGGGAGAGATAGAATAACTTCAGTGTGACAGAGAAACATCGATCAATTGCTTCCTGCATGCATCCCAACTGGGGATCATACCCACAAACTGGGTATATGTGCTGACCAGGAATGGAACTGGACACTTACCCAACTGAGCCACAATATCCAGGGCTGCCTTGAAGTTCATAGTTTGTTTCGTGATCTTCCAATCTCCCTGTTTCTGTCAGCTGGGGTCATCCACCCATCTTTAAGGCCTTAAATTTTTAATCATTTTAGAGACAAAATGCTGTATACTAGCTTATTCATTTTCTTATCTATTTTTTTCTGTTTGTGTGATCCTTAGTTCTTATCATAAGGTTGGCTGGCAAGTTACAGTTTTATTCCCATTTACCATGTGAATGGAAGCTAGCTTGTTTCAACCTTTTTCTTTGTCCCTGAACAGTCTGAAGATGACGAGAAGCTGAAAAAGAGGAAGGAGCGATTTGGAATTGTCACAAGTTCAGCTGGAACAGGAACCACAGAGGATACAGAGGTAAAATATACATAAATGCTTCGTAGAGCCCTTGAAGGGAAATGAGGATGAACAAGCTGAGTGGAGAAACACTATTATTTCCCTGGCCTACTTCTAAAGTGCTCGGATGAGAAGATCTTTTGTCCTTTGCTTGATAGCTATTATAATAGATGGCACTTTCCTCCCGGCACCCCGGCAGTTTATTTTACTCATTAGATTCTACAAAGAAGTGAGATCATGTGATATTGTCTTACTCTGCTTTATTTTACTTACCATAATAATCTCCAGGTTATGGTACTTTTCTTAACCTCCGTTTCATCATCTGGGATGTAGAGATAGTACCTACCTTGAAGTGGTATTTTAAGCATGAAATGTTTCTATGTAAAAATAGATGATTCTATGTAGAATGCTTGACATAACACCTGTCATATTGAGAGTATTCAGTAAGCAATGTCTCTGATAGTCAGCCAAGATATTTCTTTGATCATTTAATGACTCCCATATCCAACCCAGACACAAGTATAGTTGTGCCTAACTCCCATCTGGAATAGGACAATAGACTCAAATGAGATTTATTTTTCTTATCACTTTGTTTACAAATAGTTTCTCAAAATGAAAGAGTGGCTTTTTTATTTAAGACTTATATTCAAGCCCTAATGGGTTTGGTTCAGTGGATAAAACTTCGGCCTGTGGACTCAAGGGTCCCAGGTTCAATTCCGTTCAAAGGCATGTACCTTGGTTGCAGGCACATCCCCAGTAGGGGGTGTGCAAGAGGCAGCTGATTGATGTTTCTCTCTCATCAATGTTTCTAACTCCCTATCCCTGTCCCCTCCTCTCTATAAAAAAATAAAAAATATTTTTTTTAAAAATGTGTTCAAAACAAAAAGAAAAAGACAAGTTCATCCACATTCCAGCTTCCCCTAGAATAACAACTCCCATTCACTGACCCTTAAACTTTGGAAGACTGCTCAATGAACAGACAATACTGATTTGCTGATTGAAAGGTTCATAGTCAGTTTTTTTTGTTTCTTCTTTTTTTTTTTTTTAACATATTTTATTGATTTTTTACAGAGAGGAAGAGAGAAGGATAGAGAGCCAGAAACATCGATGAGAGAAAATCATCGATCAGCTGCCTCTTGCACACACCCCACTGGGGACGTGCCCACAACCAAGGCACATGCTCCCGACCGGAATCGAATCCAGGACCCTTCAGTCCGCAGGCCAATGCTCTATCCACTGAGCCAAACCGGTTTTGGCATTGTCAGTTTTCTTAATATTTTTATTAAGATATTATTTTGCTTGTTACAGATACATGAGAATATCTGTAATGGAGACCAAGTATCACCTGAGGTGTATATAAGGAACAGTTGAAATAATATGTTTTGAAATATAGAAATTATTTGGGTGGAAAGGAGTTTAGAAGGTTCTTTCTCCCGTTTAATCCAAATTTACTTCTTTCCATCTATCTCTCGAGATATCCTCGTTTTTTTGTGTGTGTTTTTTTTTAATGAATAATAAAAATAAACTGCCTAGCTGGGGTTGTTCAATTCTTGGTTGGGAACATGCCCAGATTGCTAGCTCAATCCAGTAGGGGATGTGCATGAGGCAGCCAATCAATGATTCTCTCTCATCCATGTGTGTCTGTCTGTCCGTCTGTCTCTCTCAAAAAATCAATTAAAAAACATTTCAAATAATAATAAACCCTGAAAATTTTGGAATCTGATCAGTTTACATCTTCACTAGGAAAAAACTAGAGGGATTTGTGTTTTTTATGCTAATTCAGAATAAATCATTACCTATTATAAGTATCTGCTTGCTTATTGATTTGCCAGAGTGAACTAGAAATAAGCCATAAACTTAGGCTTGTTTTAAATCTAGTTTAAAAATATATTTTAAAAATATATTTTATTGATTTTTTACAGAGAGGAAGAGAGAGGGATAGAGAGCTAGAAACATTGATGAGAGAGAATCATCGATCAGCTGCCTCTTGCACACCCCCTACTGGGGATGTGCCCGCAACCAAGGTACATGCCCTTGACCAGAATTGAACCTGGGACCTTTCAGTCCGCAGTCCGACGCTCTATCCATTGAGCCAAACCAGTTTCGGCTAAATCTAGTTTAAATTACTCCCTTTTTCCCAAGGAAACTGTGTTATGCTCACTAAGCTGGTACATTTGGCCTCTCCAAGATAAGGCGGATGAGGATTTTGTTGGGTGGCAAGGAATATTGGCGTTTATTGGAAGAATCAGTGTTCATAAGGAAGAAGTAACTTCTGAGGCTTATGGAGTTTACATGAACCAGATGGCTTTTTTTACTATTATTCCAAAGAATTGTGTCAATAATCCAGGTGGAGTGGTCTGGGCCTGTATTCACTTAGCTTTTCTTTTTAATCTAAATTAAACCTCCTGTGTGAATGGAATGAAAAAGAAGGGGGCAGTGGTTGAATGAGGTTGGATTTGGTGCCGTTTTGAGTCACTCTTAGAACAAAAGGTGTTCTTTCCTCCGCCCCTCCCCATTTTGTGCCCTCTCCCATACGTCCTCCCTTAAGAGGTCCGTGTTGGGGACTCACCTTCTCTCCCCATTCATTACATTGGTATTGAAGATTTTATGCTCTTTGTATTGGGAGGCCTGGGAATAGCTGCTGTGCGGGCCTGACTGTCCAAAAGGGCATTCCCCTCACCTCCACCAAATAGCATTGGTCAACCCTTTGTCCTCTGAAATCTCCCATCTCCCCACTGACTAGACTTTCCCCAGCCTGTTAAAGAGTCCACTATTTCGAGCCTAACTTGCTACAAGGCTGAATGGTCCTCTCTCCTTAAGGCATCTTTCCATTTTCTACTATTTTTCTCCTCTTTTCTTCCTGGCCCATCTCCTTATAATCTTCTCCCCGCTCACCCTGCTTTTCCACTGAACCTCCCCAGCTCTAACTGGATAACAAGAGAAATTCAGAAATGAAATCTTTGGCTGCCAAGCTCAACCTGGGCCTTCCTTCCTCCTTCAACCATGTGACAATCCATGTGAATTTGAAGTAAAGCAGCCAGGAACCCAGGCCACTGTTGTCTTGCAATCTAATTTTTTCCTTATTGCTTTTTCCTTATAGGCAAAGAAGAGGAAAAGAGCAGAGCGCTTTGGGATTGCCTGATGAGAAACTCTTAATGCTTTCTGTTCTTCAGTGGTTTCCATCTCTGACTCTTCTTGGTCACATATATACCTAAATACACAGTCTTGTGCCTAGGTGCTGCCTCACAATGAGAGAGCATGTACCCCAGGTACATCCATGAACTAAGCAGCAGTTTGACTTACTGCTGTTCCAACTTTAAGGTTGTTGTTTTGTTTTGTTTTTTAATTATTATTTTGCTTGTTAATAAAAGTCATTAGAAAAGAGAACAGTGTGTTTTATTAGGTACTGCTTTGAGTTCTTAGAGTCAGATTCAATCAGCTATGGGGATCTTCAGGGACAGATATAGGGAATTAGCCATAATGCTTTTACCCATTAGAAAAGAGGTTAAAGAAAAGGTTTGAGTCCATCAATATATTTTTTATTGATTTCAGAGAGAAAGGAAGAGGAGAAAGATATAGGAACATCAATGATGAGAGAGAATCATTAATTGGCTGCCTCCTGCACGTCCCTACTAGGGCCCAAGCCTGCAACCAGGGCATATGTCCTGACTGGGAATTGAACCATGACAATTAACCACTGAGGTCAACAATTAACCACTGAGCCATACCACTGGGTTGACTCCATCTCTTTAAGCTTATTTATATTCCCTCATGTTCACAGGCATCCTTTTACCTCTTTATCATTCATGAAGAGGCCAAGTTTTACTTTGCTTCTTCAGATTCATGTGACCCATTGGGATGAGATAGGGAGAATACCATGGGTTTTAGAATGTTCATGGGATGTAAAATACAAGGGCTAATGATTGATAGCCTCATAGAATGGAGTTCAGGAAGGGTCTTATTTTCAAAAGTGATCTGGTGTGATACTGTCTGGTTTCAACCAAAGCCAATATATGGAATCCTGTTGGTAGGCAGTTCAGGGAAGGAAATGAGCTGGGTACCCCTCAGAGCTAGAAGAAAGTGTAGGGAATTGAAAGCATGACAGGATGTCAGAGGTGTTAAGCATTATTGCCTGGATCATTGGGCACATAAGCCGTGCACAGGAGGCTTCTACTTTCTAATCAAACCTTGTGCTAGTTTGTCTTCTGTTGCAGAAGTATATTATTGCAGCTTTGGCAGTAACATTTCTTAAGTATTATTAAAATCCATTTTACTTGCTGGGCCTCCTACTTAGAAAGGTTTGGCTTTCCCTAAGCAGGCTGCTTGTTTGCATTTGGTTTCACATAGATTGAGATCTATTTAAACTTTTTTGATTTGTTGGTATAAGGTTTCTCCTCTTAATCTTTATTTCTGGACCTACATAAGGTTGGTTTTTGTTTGGTAATAAAACTTAAGAGCTTGACACCTTACCTGAAGACTTTGGTACCATAATCAGATGCTGTGTTGCTATGGTATAATTTCTTGTTCCCATTTCTACTGAAACCCTCTGCCTTATTTTGTGATGAATAGGTAATAATTTGATCTTCTCTTCCCACAAAGTGTTTTTGGTTGCTGGGGAGGGTAGAGACCTAAGTTTAAGACACTTTAGGAAAATTGCTTTGGAGAGCAGATCCAAAGATTAACCATTTGTTGTACATTTTGCCCCATTCTGAGACTTTGGGAAAGTGAATAAAAGGGAATTCTGTAAATGTTTCCTTCCTTCTGGCCTCTTCTGTCTGCCTCTTTTTTCTTTTCTCTAATCCCTGATTTGAGACTAATTTTTCCTCCCTCTACTCTGAAAATGGAAGCAGAGAGAATTAGTTCTGTTTTGCAGCTTGAGAGAAGTTATAGATTTAGTTAGGGTTTTCTACCCAAGGATGGTAAAAACTAGTAATAGGTAAAGGGGTAGAGCATATGGTGATAATGGAGTGGACAATGGATCCTTCAGTGTTTATCTCCTTATCTCTACTGTATATCTCCTTATCTCTTTACCTCCTGGTTCATAGGTCAGTGCTCAACCACTGAGCCACACCAGCCTGGCTCAGTCCATCCCTTTTAGCCTTAATTTACATTCTCTCATATTCACATGTGTCCTTTTTCCTCTATCCTCCATGGAGAGGCCACTTTACCTCCTTATCCTCTCTAAGCTTCCATAAAAGCACTAAATCTTCTCTTTTTGAAGTCTAATCATTCTTTCCCTGATTCAACTCACTATCCCAAAATCTTTGATATTGTGGATTTTTTACTAACTTTTTCATCTCATCCTTGTTCAGAAGTCTGTCATCTCCAAGCCTGATCACCAAATCCTCCTCTTCTTTCATAGTCATTCCACACATACTTTTTGAGCATGAATAGATCAAGATGCCTGTCTTTTCCACTAATTTAGTATTTAAATCGCCCCTTTTAAGACATTAATGGGCACCCAGGCTTCCAATCCTTTCTCTGGGATCCAAGTAACTTTCCTTCTGTGTTTCCCCGAAAATAAGACATCCTCCGAAAATAAGACCTAGTGCGTGGAAAGTTAAAACATCCCCTGAAAATAAGACCTATCGCAACTTTGAAAGGAGAAAAAATTAATATAAGACACTGTCTTATTTTCGGGGAAACGGGGTATCCCCCAGTCTCACTATATAGCTGATCCAAGATCCAGGTGTGGTTAGTTGACTGAGGCTTTTTTTTTTCCCCCTCCCTGTCCTGAAGCTGTGACATTCTCTGCATACCTGGAAGCTCTTAATGAGGGAGTCTATAAAAGATGTGGAGGGAACTAGCTTCCTCAGCTGTAAATCTACACCTTTTTATGGTTCTCCAAGGATCATTCTCTTTTCTCCACCATCACTCTATAAACTGTCCTCCCCCCACACCAACTCCTGGGAACTTCTGAAGATTCAAGGTTAGAGCTTCTGTGGGGCATAAGGGGTATAGAAAGATGTGAATAAGAGCAGGATTTCTTGATGTTGAGCCCTGTTTCCATTTCTAACCTGAGAAACAGATGAAAGGAAAGAAGGAACTTAACTGTTTTCCCTGTTGTATGAGGGCCTCTTAATGGCAATGCCATTCACCTGATTATTGAAATCCATCAGAAACTAACCTCCACATCTCTTGCTACATTTCCACACTTGTTTTTAAACTCCAAAGAAATTACCAAATAATGGTGGAATTCACACCTTACCAGACTCTTTGAGCCCAGGTTGCTCCCAGCTTTATTTCTTATCCTTTCTCAACTACTTAGGTGTAATTGCTTGTTCTACCACCCTACCTCTACTGGCTCTGAGACCCTGGACAAATTAATTGTTCTGTGGCTCCAGACCCTGTACCAACAGCAACCCTGTGAGAATTGATATGTACTCGGCACAATCTGTTTACCATAGTTTTCATAGTATTTTTTTTCAATAAATAATAAATCTTAATTTTAACTAGGTTATTTATAGTTAGAAGATTTCCTTTCCCCTATATAGGTCCCAGCTAAAGGATAAGGATTGAGTGGATTAGGTTGAGTGTGTATACGTTACATATGCAGGTACGTTATTAGGAGGTTCAGAGAGTGGAAAGAGGTAGGAGTCCATATTGCTCGCTTACCCCCAGCTCATTGGTAAGAAAGCTGACATTGTTGCCTGGGGCAGACTTCCCTATTTCAGCCTCACTAGAGAGCAGAAGCTGTACATAGATGCCACTGCCTGCGGTGTTTAGCTTGGGGCCCCTGACATGCCCAAATGGACAGAGTATAGGCTAGCTACTCATGCATTGGTTTGGAGGATGTTGGGGATAAAAGTCATCTTGCAGTTTCTTCTGAATGTCCTCAAAGTAGGAAACAGCAGTAGGGGAAGAAAAAGTGTTAGGTCAGGTAAAATGCTAGGGGTAGGTGGGGGTACAGCAGTTCCTTGGGAGTACACAGTGTGTAGCACTTTTCTCTCTCAACCTGTCTTCCTCTCAACCTCGGTCTTGTAGTTTGGTCTGAGGTGAGGTCATTCTGTAGATAAAACTAACAAGATGGGAAAGCATGGTGGCATATTGAACCTTCCGTGGCCCTGTCCCCCCATTTTGGATCAGATTGATGTTGCAGTAGCTTTTCTTCCCTTTTTTTTTTTTTAATGTAAGGGAAGATTCCTTTGCTACACCCAACTCTTATGCCTTGGAAGTGTGCTCTAGGTTCACGGTAGATGTTTTTGAGATGCTTAACCACTTTTGGTACACTGTCTGGGTGAATAGCCATGTTAGCTTGGTTTGTGGATTTTGGTAAGACTTTGTTGAGGAAGCCTAGGATTTAGAAACTACAGAATAGGATAAATGTTAGCAGGATGGTCTCAAGAGTATGTTTAGATCTTCCATTCTCAGGAAGCTGGGAGATGGTTTTGTAATGCTCAGGAATGTTTTGATAAAGCTCTCTAGAGTAGGGGTGTCGAACTCAATCAGAGAAGGGGCCAAAATCTAAAATCCAGCCTAAATCGCGGGCCGAATGGTTTACTGAACAGTCATAAACTGTCATTGTGATGGAAACGCAGCGGAGTGCAGTGATGACAGCGCGGTGCGGGCCACATTGCAAGGCCTGGCGGGACGGATTTGGCCCGTGGGCCTTGTGTTTGACACATGTGCTCTAGAGAGTTGTTCTAGGTCCCCTCCCTTGGGCTGCTTGTCCCAGCCATCACCCCAGATGACCATGGTCGTTTTCCCTTCCCCCATGATCACCATCTTCTTAGTTCTTGAGCACAAGGTTAGGTCCTCTCAGATCCTCTTCTGTTCCTGGTCTGAGGTATAAATGTTGGCGCTTGGTTAGGGAGAAGAGCTCATCACTGAATTCTAAATTCTTTGACTGCTTTTATTTTTCTTTTTTCAGGTTCAAGTGCTGGATTGTGTCATGTGACATCCCAAAACTCAGAGCACCCTATGGCCATCTTTGCCCTCTGTCACATAACTTGAAAACTGCCTGATGGCCTTTTTTGCAATGGTTCCCTCCAGGAATCCTTGATCTCAGTGAAAAAGTCCTTTCCCGACCTTCCAGTGCCCTTGGGCCCCATACTCCTCAGACACCCTTAACAAACAAAGGCAATCACACACACAGTGTAACAAATACACAAAGTAAATAATAATTACACTAATTATGATCTGAGGGCACTGGTGAGGTCCACACACATCATAAGGTGGGAGGGGGGTGCTAGTTCCCACTAGGCCACTGGGCTATGCTCCCCGGCCTTTTTGGCAGTGGGAAGGACCAAGGAAAGGAGACTTCAACTCACAGATTTATGTTCATAAGAGAAAGGCCCTCCCCCCATGGTCTTTATGTGGTGGTGGTAAAGGGACATATTCTAAGTGTCCCCAAATCTGATGCCCCAACTCTATAGAATTTGAAGAGGGAAATCATTTGATGCCTATTGCCAAACCCCAGCCAGTGCCAAGAAGGCATCTTCTGTTCTTCACTTCTCTGTTCCTCTCCTTCCACCGAGAAAAAGTTCTCCAAGATAGGGCCACAAGGAAGGATAAAGAATAGTCAGGGAGGAGAGCCTGGGGGTTAACATAGCTGCTGTATGCAAGGAGGCGAGTTGAAACGCTTAACAGCCCTGCCCATTCCTATACTGAAACACCGTATCTCACTTTCACCACACGAATGGGAACAAGATACTAAAGCTCTCCAACACTGCCTTCCCCAAGTGGTCACAAACCTCTGCCCCTTCCACTGGCTGGACCAGGGGGGAGAGTCATGCTCTTGGGAAAAACAAGCCTTCCTGGTCAGCCCTCCAGCTTGGATTAACCTTGTTCAGTACTGTTTGTATCAAGAACCATCACTACTGGCTCTACTTAAGGATAACAATTTTACTGAAGGTTCTTTCCCCCTCCTCTCCTGACCCTCTAGGCTCTTGCCTGGAGCCAAGAAGTCTGATGGTGAGGTATGGATAGGTGTGGATCAGGAGATTCTTGGCTCCTTGGCTTCAGGCACTGTCCAGCTGGGAGGCAGAGGGGAACTGTACTCAAGCCTGCGACTCCTCTAAGCCTCACATCTCTTCACCACTGCTCTGGTGCCCTGGTTATCCCACAGCGAGAGGTATTTTATGTCCATAAAGTGCCCGTGGTAAGTGCTCAGAATTCATCTCTTGGCTGTGGCGGGTGCTGCTATTTTTCATTCCATCGAGGGGAAGAAACTGAGGCACAGTGAGTCCAGAGAAGGGTGGGTCAGGATTGTGGGAGGAATGAATAGGCCCAGCTAGTGACTTGGAGTGGTAACCAATCCCTGCCTGCGTCCCAGCCTTCTAAACCAGCCGGGGAGTCTCCGTCCCCGTCCTCTGCTCTAATTGGCCTTGTCAGATGCTTTTACCACTGTATTGTCCCTATCCCTGCTGCCAGGTACTGCTAGATTCCAAGAATAAAACATAAAAATAATTATAGACACTCTGCTCCCTTATTCTTCCCACTTCCAACCTGAGCTTTGGGGTTGAGGGTCTAAAATGCCCCCCCACCCCAATCCCTTCCACCTTGGCCTGCTGGCTCTATTCCTTAGCCCAGAGCAGTAATTTGGATTCAGATGCCTTGTAATCATCAGCCTCCTCACTACTCCTTTCTTAACCCTTCCTAATCCTTCCCAGAACTCTCTCTACTCTCTTCATTGACCTGAAGATAGAGGCTGGGAGCAAGGGCATTCCACAGGCTCTTTGGTCTCTCTCTTGGCTGGAGGGAGTTGGGGCCTAAACAGACCACACCCTCTGGGTAAATAACAGTACTATGAGGGTGAACCTGAGGGTTGGTTTAGTGGCTCTCATAGATTCTGGATGCTGACGGCTGGCTCCCCCAGCTCCTAAACCCTAACCGCTTACTGTTTCCGTGACCGCTGGAATTCAGTTCCACCCCTTTGGCTCAGGAAGGTCAATTAAGTAGGGTGATTATGGATTGGAAGCTTCACCATATGTCAGCCCTCTTGTCCTTTACTCCCATTCCCAACCCTGGAGGCTTTACACAAGTGCTTAAGTAGGTGGGTATTGAGGGAGGACAGGGTTTAGGGAATAAGGGACAAATGGGGCACAGTGAACAGGGGCCCTTCTATTTCAGTAAAGCCAAATACCAAAAAATGAAAAGTCACAATAAATAAATAAATAAAATTCCAAAATCCTCACTTTTGCTCCTGCTCTCACTTCCTTTCCCCTGGCCACTGCTAGAGAGAGAAAGAGAAGAACTAAGAATGGATTTTTTGATTTCCTTTCCTATTGAAAATGGTAGTCGGGGAGTCTCCCCAGAACATACCAAGCCCCTCACCTTGCCCGTGGATGAAAGGAGGCTTGGTATGGTGCCTTCTCTTATTACTCCCTTTCCGTCTCTTCCTCAGTATCTCTGCCTAGTCTCTCTCCCCTGCCTCTCCATCCCTTCGCCTTCTCACTGCTGCTCTTAGTGCTCCTGTCTCTATCCCTCTGCTCTACCTCTGTCTCTATGCCTCTCTGTCTTCTTGTGAAACCTTCTCACCTGCAAACCTCAAACACTCCTCACCTGACCTGTCCCCTCCTCTTCTCCTTTTCCCCCAAACCCCTCACCCTTCAATCCCCACCTGCCTCCCTCTATTGTATTGCACACTGCTTGGGCAGGGAACAAGATGTGATGCTCATGAGAAGAGGTGGAGGGAGATCTAGGGCCTGTGGGGGAAGGGGGTCAGGGCTGGGATCTAGGGGTAGGGTCTGTGGAGGAGGGATCCTCTGTCCCCCACCTTAGGAGCAGCCACAGCGATCCACCACCATGCCAGGGATCTTGCCGTAGATAATCTGCTGCTTGTCATTGAAGTAGAGCATGTTGATTGGGGACATCTTGGTGGGAGTACAGCAGGGCCCAGCAGAACCTCTCGGATTAGCCTGTTGCACCAGGTGGGTGTGCGGATACTTTTGCATGAACATGTACTCGCACTGGCCCGAGCAGTAGTTGGCCTTGTAGCGTTTCGGTGCGATGATCCAGTCCCAGCCGAAAGCCTCGAAGTCCACGGTGAGGGGGTATCGGCAGCAGCGGGACTCGCTCGAGTGCTCATCGCAGTCCAGGCCCAGGTTCCGCCGGGACCGCTTTGTGTTCTCCAGGACGCGAAGCTCCATGAAAGGGTGCTGCGATGGGAGAGGAGACAGATGTGACAGAGTCCTGCAGGGCCCGCACTCTTCTTTCTCACCTGCCTCTCACAGGGGCACGAGAACAGAGACCACTTCTCAGCTTTCCCGCTGCTCCCGTCCCCAACCAATGTCGTCTGCCCACTTTTCTTGCCAGCTAGCCATCTCTCCTTCAACTCACCTTTCCTAATTCCTCCCTTGGCAACCTAACTCTCCTCAGCTCCTTGGCCAGAGGCCTCATCAAGAGTCCATTTTGTGTTCCCACGGGTCTCCCATTAACTCACACCTTCACCCCAAATCCAGTTTTCAGCTGTTGGCCTGGCTTTCATATCTGAAAAGTGATAGTTGCCACTCCCCTTCCCTCCCAAACTCCTCCTCTAATCAGCTTCTTGGCCCCCAGATAAATAATGCTAGTCCCCAACCCTCCTCACATTCCTGGTCTACCTTTCCCAACATCCCACCTCCTCAGGTTCAGGTTACACATATCCGCCACCATCTCAGGCTCCCTGCTCACCAGCCCCTCGGCTCCTGGCCCCAGAGAGGTGACAGCCAGGTCTGTGCCACTGGGATCGAAGGCGTTGATCTCGATGCCCCAGTTGCTCTGTGGCTGGCGAAACCAGCTGTGTAGCACTTGCTTGAAGTCGATGCTCTGCCAGTGGCCGGAGCGGGAGTGCAGCTCAATCTTGAGTGATCGGATACGGATGTGACGGCGGCCTCCCCCCCCTCCCCCAGGAGTCCCTTCCCCGGTTAGGGGTTTCAGCCGCAAGATCTGCAGGTAGACTGTGGCTGGGCGGGGCACAGGCCGGAGGTACACCCACAGCTGGGCCTTTAGTACCTTCGTGAACATCACCTTGGGGCTGAAGTGGAAATGACAGCAGAGAGGGCTGCCATCTGTCTGCACCGCAGGGTCCGCTGATAAGAGAGAAGGGGGCACAAGGTTAGCCCTGGGTGGCACTGGCCACTTGGGCTCCTCAGTCCAAGTTAGACTCCTCCTGACTGCTCTATCTATCAGGTCTTATTGATCTGAACCCATTCTCTAATCCAGTTGCCCTAATGCATAGTTCTCCTCTACCAGATAACCTGCAAAGATGGTTATTAGAGATTCTTCCACCTGCAGCCTTCTCTCTCCAACTTTCCCCAACATATAGGGCTCTAACTTCTGACCCTTTGATGCTCTTCAAAGAAGCCAAACCTCTGTCCTCACACCTGCTGTCCTCAGCTCACCTTGTCTGGTTTTGCTCTGTTTTGTCCGGTGGCCAGGCGGGAACCTGGCATAGCACATCCCCCCAACACACACACACACACACACACACACACACACACACACACACACACACTATAAAACAAAACAGATGGCCTCACAGAATGGATAACTCATGGTCCAGATAGAGAGCATGGGCTAAATTTATTTCATGAAGTAAATCAGATCTAGGCTTCCTGGCATCATTCACACTAGAACTAACATGCCTGGAGTCAAACTACTCAAGCACTCCTGTGCATCTGACTCTTCCATTAACCTGAAACCAGCTTTCTCGTCACCATTACTACCTCCGCTTTTGAAAGGGGAATACTACCTCTATGTTGTTTCTTCCTACTTGCCCTAAGCATCAGAAATAATATTCAACACACCAGATTAACTGTAATCAGTCTTTTCTCCCCTGAGCTTCCTGTCAGTGCCAACAACTCTTCGCAAAGGTTAACATCCAGACTTTACATTTTGGCCCATTTCCCCTTGTTCTGGACCGTAAATTGATTCTTCTTGGACCTAAAAGATGATTCTTAATATCTGCCTCTGCTTCCATTGCAGCTCCTTTCAGTTCCCTTTATAATCCCTTAAGTCAGTTGGAAATGCCTTAAATCATGTTTTCAAAGGACAGAGAGGAAGAACCAGGAAGGAGGTTCCAGAGCCATGTAAGAATGATTAGGAAGTCACGTCCATATGTAACATGTCCAGGTCTCTGAGTTCTGCATAATCATGGAGGACTTAGCATTTGCGGTCAGGGTCCCACCAGCATTTCCCCTCCCCCGACCCCACCTCAGAAGGAGGAGGGTCCAAGTGAGATGGAGAGGAAAGTGCTTAATGATCTTCATATATTCAGGACGCAAGACACCACGTTCCTCTGCAGCTTCCTTCCCCGGGTTCTCTGAGATCCCAGGGCACTGGTTGTGCTCCCAGTTACTCTCCCGCTGGAGCTGTGGGGTGCAATGGGGTGCCGTGGGGTAAGGTTCCAAAGTGGGAATTCAGAGATCAGGGGAGCTGGGGCAGGAGAGCTGCTGGGGAGATGGAGTGACAACCCCAATAGCACACTGGGCCTGATTTGAGCATAAGGACTCTTATTTTCCTGGGTGTCTTCCCCATTAGGCACCAATCTCCCTGAATGTGAACACTGTTGATCCCGTGTGTTCAGCTCATTGTGGCTTTGGTGCCTCCATAGTTCCAGGCAGTGATCACTAAATGCATGCTGAATGAACTCCCTAAACTCCCAATCTTAAATTATCCCGGCCAGTGCCTGAGAGTCCTTCCTGACATCTAAACACCGTCCTCTGACTACAGTTGAAATGGGTTTAATCACTGCCTGACTCCTCATTAGCCAGCATCTGACCTTACCACCAAACTTCTCAGTGATACAGATAATCTTGCTCCATAGGAGTCCTGAGCATTAAAGAACGTGAAAAAACAGTAGCTTCTCAATAAATGTGGGTTTATTGTTAGTTTTCTAAGCTGACCCAGGGCTTTAGAGATAGGGGACTGGGCCCCAGAGCACCCCCACCCCCACCCCAGGGAATCACCATACACTTCTCACCAGTGGCTGTGGGACAGTCGGGTACTACAGGGGGACAGGACTAAAGGTATGGAGAAAGGAAAGGGAAGGGGAGAAGATGGGAGACTGGAGATGGTGAGGGAGGTAATGGCAGAGACTGTTAGAAGAGATAGGCAGAGAGACAGAGGGGAGAAGGTAGAGGAAGAAGAAATCAGCTTGGGGTGTGGAGACTACTGGGAGAAATGGGGGGACTTAAAGGAGTGCATGAGGGTTAAGAAGCAAGAGGGTGGTGGCCAGACCTAGTGGGATGAAGAGAAAGGACAGGAGGATACACGGGGAGGAACAAAGGAGAACCAGGTAGAGCCACGGAGGGAAACAAGGGGCTGAGAGAGTCCCCAACACAGGCATAGGCCCAGCTCCCAAGGGGAGGGGAAGGAGCCACATCTGTGTTGGATTGATCGGGTTGGTGGCAGGCAGCAGGTCAGGTTTAGTAGGCGGTGCTGGTCTGGAGAGAGGTCATTGCACTATTTTCAGCAAAAGCCCAACCCCCTCGCTGCTCACCACCTCGCCCTCCCCCCCCCCCCCCCCCTCACATACACACTCTTCTAACCCCGGCTGCAAGGCCTAGGGGCAGGAGGTTGGGCTGAGGACCGGGGCCTCTCGGTGTAGGGAGGAGAGAGAAACTGAGGGGCTGGGCTTGGCTCCCAGAAGGGCAAGGGGGCTGGGTTCCCAGGATGAAGGCTGGGGTGGGAGAGACTAAGAGGGTGGAGGGAACTAGGGCAGGCACTGCAGCCTAGGAGAGGTGGGGGCTGGGGTCCAGGGTTGAGGACTGGGGGAGGGGAGGAGGGGGAAGGGAGCGGAGGCCATCTCTGCTGACAAACACCTCCCCCGATTAGCAGAGCACAAGTCTCTTATTAAAGCGGGTCCCTGGGGATTAGACTATAAAAGTCTCTTTTTCCTTTTCCCCTCTCTCCCTCCCCTCCCTCCCCTCCACTCCCCCTCCCTCTCTTAAGAGCTCAGCTTGGCTCTTAAAGGGGACGTACAACACCTGGCCAGAGACCCAGTCCCTAGCTATCCAGGTCCTGGGGTGGCATGAGGGTGTCCCTCTCTCTTCACCGGGACCCAGCCTAACCTGCACTTCCCAACCCAGGCTTGCAGAGTCCTGGACGGTCCATCTCCCGATGGCATCCCCCTTTCCAGGGCTAACTCTGGACTCAGCCGCACTGGTGAAGGGATGCTGGGGACAGAAAAGAGCAAGGGAAGCCCATCTGCAAATCCTCGGTCCTACCCCACCTAGACCAGAGGATCTTTTCCCGTTCACCTTGCAGCAGACTCTTCCAGAATTCCTCCGTGACTCTGGGTCACAACCCCCCACCCCCACTGCTGCCCTCCGTCAGTCTCACACGAGCCCTAGCTTCTGTAAAGCCAAAGCCTCAAGAACAGAAGGAAGACTGCAGGGAAACCCCAGATCAGATCCCGAGCCTTCACCTGCACCCCACCCCCAAATTAACTTCCTAGTTCTCTGAGTTTTCTCTCTGCGACCCTGACCCAGCGCTGTGGGCTCCTCTGCAGGAAAGCTGGTGGCCGTACTCGGCACTCTGCCTCCCCATGCACACCTGGGTTCCCGGGCCTCTCCCATGGGAGCGGGCCGCTAGGACTCCCCTCAGCCCCAGCTTTTTATGGCCCATCTGCCAATAAAACATCTCCCCCTCTTCTGTTCAGAGCCATAAAACCAAACAGTGTGTGTGTGTGTGTGTGTGTGTGTGTGTGTGTGGGGGGGTACTTTGCCAAACCTCTAAGAGAGGGCCTGGTTCCCTGGAGGTGGGGGGCAGGGGGATTTAGTGGGGGGGGGACCTCACTGGGGGAGGAGAAGGGGGGTCGTCTGACCCTAGGGAGAGCAGGGAGTTTGGGGATGCTGGAGGGAGTGTTGGCCTGGATTTTCCAGGCCATAAAATTTCAAAGCAGCACAAGTCTATTAACATGTTCATCTTTCCTCTCTGGCCAGGGGCTTGGATGCCTGGGTTCATCCCGCTCCCCATGGCTTTCTTTCTTTTTCTCCTCAGGTCTTCCTCTCCCTCCTCAAGTCAGGGTGCGGGTAGGGGCGGGCGAATAAGAGGTGGAACACTGAGGTCTGAGCAGCCAAGCTGGTGCCGGGGACCGCAGCGCCGTGGAGCTGAGTCCTCTGAGCACAGTCAGTCACGAGGAGGCACAACTTTCCGTCCCTCCGGGAGACCAGGTGTCAGGGGCTCCGGGCGGAGGGAGTGCCGGCTGGGCTACGTCCCGGGGGAGAGACGGGGCTTTGGGCGCTCCCTCCTGGGAGGGGAGGGGGGCCCTCGGCTCCCCGGGGCCGGGGGCGCGCTGCGGGGCTCAGGGTGGGACCGGGCGGCTCGTGGGAGCCGGGGGTGGGACCGGTGCGGCGTGGGTGCGGGCGGCCGGGGAGGCAGCGGTCCCTGCAGCCTCCCGCCTCCGCGCTCCGGCCCCTCCGCGCGGCTCTTCGGGACTCGGCAGCTGTCCCTTCTCCTGCGCTGCGGGCGGCCGCTGCTCCCCGGGGTCTGGCTCGCACCCCCGGGAGAGAAGGCGCTGCCTCGCCATCCCCGGGACTCGCCGTCCCTCCCCCTCCAGGGACGGGGCGTGCACACCGCCCCGCAGCTCCCTCCGCCGCTAGGAAACTTGCACGGAGCAGCCTCCGCCCCCGGCCCGTCAAGTTTCCGCGGAAAAGGCTGCGGGGCCGGAGCGCCGGCGCGCCCGCCGTGCACTTACTCTCCTGGGCCATGCTGATGACAGTCTCCGTGGTGGCGTGGTACTCGTCCTCCTCCAGGAAGTCCTCGGGCTGCAGCGCGTCCCCCTGGAAGTCGTGCAGGTCCAGGATCTGCTGCAGCGGCGGCGCCTTGGGCAGCAGCTGCTTCACCACCTCGCGGCTGATGTTGGGCGCCTCCTTGAGCCGCAGTTTGCTCAGGATCTGCGACTTGATGCTCTCCAGGCGCAGCTCGCGGCTGTGCTGCCGCCACACGCACACCGGGCAGCCGTCGGGCTCGGGCGCCGCGGACGCGCGCTCCCCCCCGGCCCCGGCCCCGGCCCCGGCCGCCGCCGCCGCCGCTGCCGCCGCCGCCGCCGCGGGCCCCTCGGCCGCCTCCCCCCGGGGCCGCAGCTCCAGGGCGAGGAGCAGGAAGCCCAGCAGCAGCGGGGCCGCGAGCACCATGCTGGAGGGGAGGGGAGGGAGCGCTGGGGGGCGGGGACGCCGGAGTCCCGCGGGGAGGGGGCGGAGGGAGCAGGGAGGGAGGAGGAGGGGGTCCCGGCGGCGCGGGGTTGGGGGCTGCCCGGCCGGCCGAGGGGGGGACCCGGGGGGGCTGGGGGCGGCGGGCTCGCGGGCGGGGCGGGCGGGCGGCCGGGGCGGGAGGCTGGGGGGGCCCGAGCCCGGGCCAGGCCCTTTATAGCCCCGGCCCCCGTGTCGTCAGCGGCCGCGATTGGCTGCGGAGCCAACAAAAGAGGCCGCGCTGTCATCCGAGGCGAGAGAGGGAGCCGGAGAGAGCCGTGGAAGAGGGAGAGAGGGCGGGGAGCGCCCGGGAGAGACGGGGACCGAGGTCTTGGGGTGGGGGAGAGGAGAGGGGAGACAGAGAGAGGAAGCGGGGAGAAGCCGACCAGAGGGACGGGAATGGGAAGAGCAGAGACAAAGGGGCGGAGGGAGTCAGAGGGCAGACCCGGGAGCAGAGACTTCGCTGCGGAGACGGAGAAGCAGCCGGACTGGCCCGGGGAGTTGGCGCGGGGAGAGTCCGAGGCACAGACGCGGGGAGAGGTGTGGCCAGCGGGGCAGAGAGGGAGGTCTGCAGAGCCCTCCTCAGGGGGTCAGGGGTGCAGACATGGGAGCAGAGGAACCGATGGGACAGGGCCAGCACCTGGGAAAGAGGCGGTGGAGGGAGAGGGGCTGAGACTTGGCCATACCCAGGAAGCCCCTGAGGAGGGCCAGCCGGAGGACCAGGGAAGGCAGAGATGAGAAGACAGACTCCGGGGGAAGGAGAGACAGCACCGTGACAAGTCAGCCTGAGTGGGAGCGTGGGGAGGAGAGGGGGAGTCTCAGCCCAAAGGTGTTTAAAGAAGCCATGAAGGGGAGCATCGGGGGATCAGAAGGAGAACATGGAGGGATTAGATTAGACATGGGGGTTAGCCACTAGGAGCTGAAGGAACAGGGACAATCTGGGAGGGTGGAGAGGTGGTTGGGAAGCCCTGAGACCAGAGGAAGACTTAGCTGGGGAGAGGCCATGAGCTTGAAATTGAGGCTTGAAAGCGATAAGGTAATTAGCAGGTTGGAAGAGGCAGGAAGGGAGGGCCCCTGGGGAGGAATGGGAGGAAGCAGTGGCGAAGAACACTGTGCTTGCAGAGGAATCTGCATCTCGGGGTTCCTAGCTAAACTTTAGGGTCTGCAGGGACTTAGAAATCTGAGCAGGGGCCAGTCGTCTTAGGGGCAAGAATAAGAGAAAGATCTGCTCTTGGATGCGGATGCCCAAGTTGGGAGAGACAGCAAGCTGTAAAGAGGGAAACCCAGATATGGAGCCAGTCCCATATCAGTGTGACCTTGGGTACGGCCGAGGGCAGAGTGGAAGATTGCCAAGAACTAGAAGACTTCCAAAGGGCTTAGCTTCTGCCTCAATGCCTCTTCCCAGGCCTCATTTCTCCCGGCTTATTTCTTGATTCTAAAGTCCTGGAGGTCAATAGACAACCAATAGATTGAAAATGTAGCCCAAACCAGTTTGGCTCAATGGATAGAGTGTTGGTCTGTGGACTGAAAGGTCCCAGGTTCAATTCCAGTCAAGGGCATGTACCTTGGTTGCGGGCACATCTCTGGTAGGGGGTGTGCAAAAGGCAGCTGGTCGATGTTTCTCTCTCATCAATGTTTCTAGCTCTCTGTCCCTCTCCCTTCCTCTCTGTAAAAAAAAAAAAAAAAATCAACAAAATATATATTTTTTTTAAAAGAAAATGTTTGGGAGACTGGATCTTGCTGGCTTCCTGGTACACACATTTACTAAACCAGTGGAAGAACATTATTGGGTTTCTCAGGCAGAACAGAGACATTGGGCTCCTCTCTGGATTAGAGCCCAACACGGTGTCTTAAAGTCGTCTTGATGAAACAGTAGGTCTGAGGAGAGTTGGACTGGGGAGGTGGAGTGGGGTGAAGGGATAAATTGGTGGTCTAGGTATGAAGATGCCAAGATAAATAAGATGGTCCCTTTCCTTAGGGAACTTATAGACTAGACAGGACACTGGATGAACAGTCCTGGCCAAATCTCCATCTGGAAGTCGCAAGGTGGCTTAAAGGTTAGATGGGATAACTAGAGAACTTCTCTCCCTCCCCCTAAAATGCATCCCCTTCCTGATGTTTTTCATTTATCGTGAATGACATCCAATCATCCAGTCCATAAGCCTGATGTAGCCTTCATTTTCTTTCTCGCTCTATTTTTAAAAATATATTTTATTGGTTTTTTACAGAGAGCTAGGGAGAGGGAAAGTTAGAAACACCGATGAGAGAGAAACATCAATCAGCTGCCTCCCACACCCCCCCCACTGGGGATGTGCCCGCAACCAAGACACATGCCCCTGACTGGAATCGAACCTGGGACCCTTCAGTCCGCAGGCCGACGCTTTATCCATTTATCCACTGAGCCAAACCGGTTCTGGCTCTAGCTCTATTTTTAAAATTTTTTTAGTCATTAATTTGAGAGGGGTGGGGAGAGTGGGAAAGGAGAGAGAGACATGGGGAGAGATGGCGACTAGGTTGTTCCACTTATTTATGTGCTCATTGGTTGCCTCCTGTATGCACCCTGATGGGATCGAACCTGAATCCTGGTACATTGGGACAACAGACGCTCTAACCTGCTTAGCTACCCAGCCTCTCTCTCTTGACCACCTGAGTCTTTGTACACAGTCGTTTCCTCTTCCTAGAACAATGCCCCTTCGACCTCACCTGTCCACACGCGCACACACAATCTCTTGGCCATATTCACTTTTTGCTCAGTTCTCAGTACAGATGAGATTTTAGACACGTCTTCCAGAAGTCCGTTCCTGACTCCCAAGTTTAGAGCAGATGCTCCTCCTAGCTCATCTGTGCCGTTTTGTGTGCCTGTGGGGTTAATCACAAAGCTTGTGGAGTTAGGCTGCTGGGTTCAAGCTCACGTTCTCCCCGTTTTCTGACTGCGTGACTTTGGCTCTGTGCTTCAGATTCCTCCCCTAGGAGATGAGGAAAACAATACTGTATCTATTCCATAAGATTACGCAGATGAACTGCCCGACACACACTTCCAAATGAATTCATTAGTCATTACTGTTAGCCCAGCTTACCACTTTACTTTTCCCCCCAGCAAAGTAGTCTATTCTTAACTGCTTTGAATAAAGAATGAATGAACCTGCTGACTGGATCTGGTCAGAGCTGGGCTGGAAAGAGAAAACTGTATTTATGGTCACGAGGAGTCACGGGTACCTGCCAAATACCAGAGAGCAGGAATCAGGCACAAATTCTGAGACAGAAAGATTTCCACCTCCTGTTCCTCCCCGAGGTCCAAGACGGCACTTAATCCAATGAATAGGGAAGAGTGCCACCTGGTGTTAGATTCTGGAATTGCTACTTCTTGGAATGGGACTAAAAGCCTTTTTTTTTTTTTTTCCTTTTTGTTTTGAATTCCTTACATATTTTCACTTTTAGAGTTCCAGTCCAAAAGTTCTATATCCTAATGCATTAAGTCTTGGACCTCTCTCCCTAGACCCAGTCCCGAGAGGGGAGCCCTGCTGCCTTGGCGGAAAAGGAGTTGGGAGAGATCTGAACCGTCAGCTCTTCCTCATCCCAATACCGGCTACCAGGGTTGGGCCCCGCCCACTGCCCCGATCTCCCTGGCAACTGTCTTCCAGCCAGGGTGCCGCTCTTCCTGCGTTACCCAAGCAACCTTCAGGCCCGCCTCCTTCAAGGTCCTGACTGGTTCATAGAAAATGTGGGTCGGGACCTCAGGGAGGCATTGAGGTTGGCAGAGTGCGAGCTGCCGGGAGAGAAGCGGGAGGGTTTCAGGGGGAGGCAATGAGCTGTCAGGAGCCGCTGAAGGAAAGAGGGGCTTGTGTAGCCCCGGTAGAGGGTCCATTACATCCCCCGGAAGGGCTACTGCAGGTCCTGGGCGCTAGTCACCAGGGCTCAGACCAGAGACACCTGGGCCACTCTCAGAGCTGAGCCCAGAATGGGAACTCCTGCTTACTTATCCCTTACCACGCGGGACACACACACACACACACACACACTGTGCAGCAGAGCTGGGCTCAGTGGGGAGTAGCTCAGAATCCCTAGTCTTCTCCTAAAGACCCTATTTTTAGCATCAGTGGACTCGTGTCCAAGGCATGGCAAGTCTTTCCAAGGAGGGGATGGGCTGGGTCGCTGAGGAGCAGCTGAGGGAAGAGGGGCTTCCCAACGGGGCTTGCTTCCCCGCTGGCCCCAGCATAGACCTCTGGGGGTGTGGTGTGGGGAGGGAGGCCGCTCTGGGCTGGGGTGGTCTGTTGGTGGAATGCCCACAAACCCGGACCCCCCTCCCCCCACCCCAGAGGTCCTCACTGTAATTACCATCCTCTCCGCCACATTCCGAACCCTGTAATTATCCTGCCGGGATCCACCCTGCTACCAGGCCCTCCGAGAAAAGTTGGGAGCTGGGAGGAGGGAGCCAAAGAGTTAGTGTTTGGGGAGGAGGTGGGATACGAGTGGGGGCTCCCTGAATCATTTGGGGTCACATCTTCCTTTGCCTTTGGCCTTCTGGAAGACACCCCCACACACACTCCCCCTCTGAGGGTAGGCCCGGCGCTCCATTCTCTCCCAGCTTTACTCTCCCCATCCCAGGCCTAACCTCCTCTGCCTGCCTTTCTCACTACTGCCCCCTCTCCGGGCCCTGCTGGGGGCTGCTGGGGGGCATCAGCCAGAGCTGGCCCCAGCTGTGGGGGCAGGAGGCACACTATTCCAGCTGCTGGCCAAGGAAAGGAGAGGTGTGAGTGCAATGCCTGCTTCAGAACCTGGCAGATGCGCTGACCCCAGAGGTGACAGAGCAGCGTGACCTGGGCTGCCAGGTGAGGGGAACTGTGGGGAAGCAGAGGGAGCTGGAGGTAGGGATGTTTAGAGGGAATTCCGTCTCCAGAAGAGAGCACAGGGCAGTGAGGTCAAGGCTGCTGCCAGGTGAGGGGTGTGTGTGTGTGTGTGTGTGTGTGTGAGACCCCATCCACTCAAACCCGCCTCATCTCATCCCTA